TAAATCAAATAACGAGTATTTTAAGCGCACAAATGAGCTTGTGGGGATTTGGAACTTTTTGAAGTTAGCAAAATAGGAGGCAGACGTAAAGGAATCAGTGCTGCAAGGCTATTCAAGTGACTTCGCCTTCCAACTCGGTCTTCGCGCTTTGTCACAACTCAAAAGAGGGATGAAATGGAGGGGAGAGGAGAATAAAATGAACTTACAGAGTGCAGCAAAAGTGGTGACAACTTCTTCTCCACCCGGATGGAATTCAGAGCTTCCAGAATGCGCTTCACGTAGTCCTCACAGCTCTGCAAAGCAAAGGATCCAATTGTAAAGCTTAAGTTATCTCTTAAAAGACTCTGCTCAAGTCCTTCATATGGCACGGGGAAGTTGATGTAGCAATTGGGAGGTGATAAGACGTTGTTGCGAGGAGTGCCGATGCCTTACCTCCTTATCCTCGGATTTTTCAGCCATCGCCTCTTTGTATAGTTCAACTATAACACCAAACCAAAGTAAAATACCGCATTTAGTCGCCTCATTTTAGCCAACACACAACAAAACACCTCCTCCTTCCCCACGACGATGGTGCCATAGACTCACCCATTTCCTCCGAGGTGGGGATGTAGACTTTGTTGTCAGTCGGAGGTGGTACTTGCTCCTGCCAGTACGCTCTTCTGCTGCCTCGAGGCTTGTAACGCCCCACCACAAAGGCTCGTCTACCGTCCACCGATTTGGCCATTCCGAATCCTGCGTGTCGTGTCTTCTTCCAAATGACTTGAGCGAAGTGACCTGAAATTCGCATTTTAGACCGCCTGAGGTCTGAAGTTGGCGCAAAGCCCCTTCCCTGACCTGATAGCAAGAAGGCAATCGCCAAGGCTTCCACTCTGCCCGTAGCACCAATTGGTAGGCGTAGCCTCGTCATCATCAACCAGTCGACTGGATTTCAACCGATCGTCACAATTTGTAAAAGTGAAAACTAAAAACCCGAATGCTGTACTCGTGTGGAGGTGTCGTTGAGTGTTTGTGAAACGTTTTTGATTTACGGAATCGCGCTAGTTCTGCTCTTTCAGTGTGACAATGATGGTCCCCCAACTTACTCATCCTCATTTACATTGAAGTTGATGAGAAGTGGATCGCTTAATCATTTTCATTTTTATTTGCTGCTCAAACCGATTTCCAACACCTGCAAAGGGCTTCAACTTTGTTGGACAAGGTGAAAGCATATTTAAAGGTATAAATGTGCTTTTTAAATTCTAACAGTCACTCAGTCCTTTGTGTAATGTGTGACGAAGTCATCGAATGACGTTGATTTCGTAGGCATAAACTTTAAAACGGCATTTTTGTACTGTCGATGGGGGTGGATGTAAGTGTAGTCTTAACTGGAAGGGCGGCTGCAAAACGTTCCTGACTAGGTGGACAAAACAATGAGAAT